AGACGACTCGAGATCTTCATCACGTATGAGCAGTGTCGTCCCCAACAACCAACATTATCGAATTTCTAAGCAAAAAAAGGGGAGAACCATACAAACGTGTTGTCTTGTCGTCTTTGCCCTATTCTTGTTAACACAAGAATGTGCAAAGAGGGACAACTATAGACACCCGTTTTTGTCCGGGTCTTTTTTATATTATTTTAATTAATATAATTATTATTATTATTATTATTATTATTATTATTATTATTATTATTATTTTGATTATTACATTTTACATTTTGTGCAAGCCACCTGGAGCCCAAATACATATGCCTATATTACAAGCACCAATTCAAGCCCAATTACAAGCCCACCAGGAGCATAACCCTGACCCAACAACAACCCCGACAGCCCAACAACCACACCCACCCAGCTGCTGACCCAATCCCACATATCTAACCTGGACTCGACCCGACTGAAGCCCAGCGACCCAAAGGGACCCGAACCGACCCGATTTGATGACCCGATTCACCCTAGGGTTTTTAAAACCCTAGGTAGCTGTTGTTGTTGCCAGCCTCTGTCGCCACATCCTCCATCTCCATTAGAACCCAAAACACCGAATAAAATAGAAAAGATAAATAGAAAGCCGATTCTTACCTTTACTTGAAGTCGTGGAAGACGAGAGGCCGCTGGTTTCCAAGGTTTTTCGAAAGGAAAATATTTTAGATCTAGGAGGTTAGGGCATTTTTTAGGTCAAACGAAGTTGGGTTTCGGGTTGAGGAGCGCGAAGAGACCATTTTAGAAGCTTTTGGTCTCTCCGGTCGTCGTGCGTCGCCGTTGGTCTCGCCGTGGGAGCCTTCGACCACCGTAGCTGCCCTCTCTTCGTTTGAGAGAGTTGAGAGAGTTCCAAAGAACTCTCTCTCTCTTCGTCTGTATGAAAGAAAACAAATGAGAAGGAAGAATGCTAAACAAAGCCTATTTTGGGCTTATATACCGAACGCAAAACTGCGTGTTCGTAAGGGGCTTCTCCGTGTTTTTACTTTGGGGGATAATAGCACGTTTAGTCCCCCATGCTTTATAATATTTTGGGTTAATCATAATGAAACTTTTGCTTTATTCTATTTTAAGCACTTATTTTTCTATATTTATTTTTTAGTCCTATTATTATGTGTTATATTATTTTTGTTAATGTTTGACTTTGGGAACCATATTTGTAATTATTTTCATTTTGGTCACTGATATGGTGTTTTGTTTATTTTTGTGGATGTTTGAATTTGGCCACAATATTTGTAACTTTATTATTTTAGTCACTGTTTTGGCATTTGGTTTAATTACTTTTTGATCCTCCATATTTTTGTGTAATTTGATTTTCGTCCTTTATATTTCTTTTGGGTTATTTTTATTTCAAGTATCTGTATTTGTTTAAAATATAGATTGTGGATATGGTTTATTTTTATTTTATATTTTGGTCCCTTAAGTTTCTATTTTATCTATTTTAGTCCCTAAATTTTTTATTTTTGCTATTTTAATCCTTTAAATTTTCTATTTTTGTTGTTTAGTCTTTTTAGTTTATGTTTTATCCATTTTGGCCCATGAAGTTTCTATTTTTTATTGTTTTAGTCCCTAAGTTTTTGGTTTTGGCTATTTTAGTCCTTTAGGGGTTTTATTTGGCTATTTTGGTCCTTCAAGTTGATGTTGATCGTATTTTGGTCTCTTTATTTGTTCTATTTTAATCCATTATGAATGCATGTTGTATATTTTGAGTATAACATTAAATAAATGTTATTATTTTATGTTGTAAATATTTTACTAGTCATTTGTAATCATATTTGTTTTTATTTTATTTCCTTGTTTATTAATATTATTCGAATGTTTTTCAAGAACACCGATTTGTAGAATGAGCGTGGAAAGTTTCACTTGGTCGAAGTGATGTGATCCGATACGGCATTTTAACAAAATGTAAACTTGAAATGAATCAACTTTATTTTGTTAATTAATTCATCTTGTATTTTAAATCAAACAACGAGATGCATGTTTCTCTAGATAACAAGTTATTTTATTTAACGCAAAAGTTGATTATCAATTTATATTCGATTCACATTTTTTGTAACCGAGGAGGAATATTCTTTAGTAATAAGAAATAGTTGAAATAGCTTTCTCGATGAAAGATAGCAAATTTAAAGATTTCTTATTGAGTTAAAGGATTTTCTTTAGATAGTTAATTCGAAGCAAATTAATCAATCTTTGATAAATGGATCATAATTTAACTTTATATTCGATTTATGATTTCCACCATTTTACGACAACGTGTAAGCAACACAGTACCAATTTTGGGCGTTGTGGGGGTGCTAATCCTTCCCCGCACGTAACCGACTCCCGAACTCGTTTTAATCGAATCTTTGGTTACGCATACCATTTTTGTCTTAAAAATGATTTTTCTTAAATTTATTTTTTTAAAGACGTTTTAGGTATTCGACCTACCTAACCTAAAGGTTGATGGCGACTCTAGTCAATTTTATTCAAATCAAATCCAAAACTGCCACTTTTCCAAATTAAAGTCATAACTGTTTTTTTAAATAATATTTAATTGTTTTCTCAAAAAATAGTTATGACAGCTTGGCGACTCCGCTGAGGACCTTTTTTTAGAGAGTCAGGTTGTAAGTCGCTTACATATTGTCGTCTTGGTGGAAATTATTAATTTGGGTCTTTAGTTAACTTATGATCCGTTTATTGAAGTTTTAATTGCTTCGTTTTTAATTACCGTACTAACGTTTGAATTTTTGCTTTTAGCTTTATCCAAGTTTTTGTCAAGTTTTTTTTCTCTTTACCGTTTTTGAGTCAAAGGTAGGTACGTTCCTCCTCACACACATCACGTGCATTCGTATAACATAAGCTCTAGATATGAGCTTCGATCCAGATAGGTCGGGGTGAATGCTTTACTCTCGTAAGAATTTATCATTCATATGAGTTTTAGAAAATAACCCACGGGATATATACCTTATACCTTCGTAGGGATTTATTCCTCTTATGGGTATAAGGCAGTGAATCCCCTCGAATTGAACTCATTTCGCTCGAAACCTATAATGGGTGAGGATCGAGGGTTTCGTAGCCCAAGGGGGCACCGACATCTAGGACAATTCAAGTACCCTTTTCTTTTTAGAGCCGAAACCATGCATATAGTGAACCGTAGAATGTTTACCCTAGGTATAGCTATACCGAACCTCTGTTCGTCAGTAGGTACCCAAAATAGGTGTACACAAAGGAGGATCGTTTCCAAACCTTTCCTTTTTTATGTTAATTAACAACATGCGAACTAGATATCATGCGGTTAGGATCATTTTCTTGAAAATAGGTCATTGTGGGTAGAAAGCATGTCTGGGTAGGATTGCTATCTTTTTGAAAGCATGCTCGGGTAGATATTATGACAGGGTAAGTGTTATATTCATCTTTGAATAACATTTTTATCCTTTTCAATTATTTTACCTGTACTAAACGTTTTTCTCTTTTGTGTGTTACTAACTCGTTTTTTCCTCTCTTTTGCTTGTGTCATTTTTCATCATTCTTTGCATTGCATTGCATCGTCATGACATAATGCGAAAAATGTTGATCCGCAAGGGGATATTCGAGAGAAAATCTTCACAATAAGAGGTAAAAGTTTTCAATCAAGCAGTCTCATATACAGACATGCATTGAAGGCTAAAAGAAGGCTAGAGTATCATAATGAGACTTGCTCGAAGATAGTGCAACATTCGAGATTGAAAAGATGATCCAATGAGTAATCCAGTAGTAGATTCTTATCTAAGATCGTTCCAACGCTATTCATCGAAGAGTGATGCACTGACTTCAGCATCGCCGGGGCATTAACGGAGTTAAGTTACAGAACGTCTTAGGGACATCATTTTCAAGGACGAAAATCCGAGACAAAGCATCAACCCTCTTCAGATTCAACATCTAAGCGAAGCAACTCTGTAAAGTGGACTGTCTTATAATGTGGATATTTTTACCTCTGGTGAAAATTATTCTACGATATTCATCGTTGGGATCCAAGGGTAAGACGACCACCCCTAATAGTTGGGGTATCCTGGCAGCAAGTTACCTAGATAAAGGACAGGTGAAAAAAAACTTTCGGGTGCTGAAAGCTGCCCTATCTTTATTTGTGGACGATAAGGGGTGGAAACCGAACCTCAGGGTGGTTATGGGCATCTTGGATTGGCTAGGTGATGAAGGTAGTGTTCGTGACACTGAAGAATTCGTTGAGTCTTTGAGGAGAACAATTCTGGTCAATCGGAAAATGTATCATTCCTTGTTGAAGACAAAATAAGACATGGTAAAAAAGTGGACAAACTTCTGGACCGAATGAAAGCTGATAAAATAAATGAAGAAACAAAAACGATATTGGCCATGAAGTCCAGCTAAATTTCCATAGGTTGGTTCCTCGTCATTCATTGATCTATGCATGTTTTTCTATCTGCTAGCCATTTTTGTCATCCAGACTCGGAATTTACCTTCCTTTTGGTATCTCATTTCCATCAACGATTGGTGTGAATTTTCTTTTGGGAATAGTAGTGAACTTGTCGATCATTGTCACATTAAATTCGACTAAATGCCTTCATATTGGTATTTTGTTACTTTCGAGGGAATAACACTTTGGGTCGTCAAGGATCAATAGGTAAATTTCAGCAGCTCCAGGAAGGCTAATCTAGGCTGGAAGAACTGCGACGTCAAAGAAGGCTTCGTCACACCAGAGGTAGAAAGCTCTCGACCGGTGGATTAACCATGGAAACTGATATATTTATTGAAAGTTGAGGCAAGAATGCTCAAAAAGTACCATTGTCGAGCAAGAGAAACAAGCTTCATTTCAGTGAAGAAAAGAGACAGAATGAATACTAACAATTTTGATTTGCAATTAGCTAAATGCACTTACTTGTAAGTGAAATGTTGGCCATGCTTTTGTCGACATTTTTCAATAAAAAAATTAATCTCAAGAGCAAAATATAACCAACTTAATGGAGTTTTATCCATTTACCAATGCTCAAAGATGCAAATCGTGCATAGATACAAGGAGTTCTACTACCAACTCAAAAGCACCAGTAGAGATGGTTTGAAAGGCAAATTAAAACCGACAAATTAAAAGGTTTTCAATTACTGTAAATTGGCACACATTCAACTTGGATAACAGAAAAGTCTGGAATTCAAACAAAGGCTTGTCCCAAAGTCTTATTTTTAAACAAACTGAACCGCACCTTACTCGGACAGTGTCGCTTTCAGCTCACCATTGTTCCGGAGCTCTAGTATGATATCACAACCTCCAATAAGCTCACCTTTGTAATAAAGTTGAGGAAACGTTGGCCAGTTCGAGAAGACTTTCAATCCCTGCCTCACTTCGTCGTTAGTTAAAATATCAAATGAGCCGAAACTCACACCTTCCTCCTTTAAGGCGTTGACAACTTTAGAGCTGAAACCACATCTAGGAGCATCGGGTGTACCCTTCATGAAGAGCATCACTGGTGAAGATGAAATCAAACTTCTCAGATCCAACATCTCTTTCCTAGTGATGCCTTTCTCGGTTAAGATCTTTTGAAGCTCACCACTTTTCTGCATCTCTAACGCAATGTCTGATCCACCAATAAGTTCACCTTTAATATACAATTGAGGGTAACTTGACCAATTTGAATAAACTTTCAGCCCTTGACGAACTTCATCATCTGTGAGAATGTCAAAACTCCTGAAATCGACTTTCTCTTGTTTAAGTATTTCAACTACCTTGTGGCTGAAGCCACACTTGGGCTCATCAGGCTTTCCCTTCATAAACAGCACAACTGGGCTTGAATTAATCAAGCTTTGCAGACGAGAATTTAGGTTTGTACTTAATCTGGTGGGTTCTGCGGTGCCAACCGTTCCCGCTCCACTTCCAACGATATCAACTCCATGATCTCTGAAAACTTCTTTAAGTTCACCACTTTCATGCATGGAAATTATTATGTCACACCCACCGAGAAGTTCTCCTTTGCAATAGACTTGCGGAAATGTTGGCCAGTTAGAGAACTTCTTTAAACCTTCACGAACTTCGTTGTCCGACAGAATATCAAATGTTCCAAATTTTATTTTTTCATCCTTCAAAACATCAACAACTTTTCTGCTAAAATCACACTTAGGTTCCTCAGGGATTCCTTTCATGAATAGCATTACAGGATGAGAGTCAATCAGCTGCTGCAGTCGCTTCTTAAGTTTGTCGTCGAGACCAGTTTGCACTTGATTTCCTGTCTGGGATGAACCATTTACCTTCGCCAAATCTTGAACCGTCTCAAGGATGGTGGGGCCGGCAGCCATCCCAAGACTAGCAGGAGCAGCAGCTTCTCCAGGGTTAATAAACCCAGTAACCTTGGCAACTTTGTTGGCGAGACTGGAAGGATCTGCACCCTCCAATTTATCAAAAATCTTACCATCCTGACAGAAACAATCAAATGGTCAACCTTACTCATCTTTCAAAAGTGTTTAAATCGAAAAATCAAATACTAACCAAACCTAGACTTCAAGCAAATTATCAAAGGGCAATATTAAAAGAAGAACAGGCACACAATTGGATAGTCCAGCCTTATCAGTATGAATATTTATTGCCTTTATTCAGGATGGAAAAAAGCGTTCCTGGACAAGTTTAGTTAAATTCACTTCTCTACATTTTGAGGGAAATGATTGAATGAATCTAACAAGTGAAAATCTTCCTGTGTGTGTTCAGTGAAATACTCCCAGCCTAGGATTGTCAAATGCAATAACAAGCAGCCAATGATTATATTCCGCAAGAAAATAAGTAATCAAGTAATCGGACTGACTTAGCAACTAGCATTCGAACATATACATTCATGGATTAAATCAACTTCAGTGTGAATATATATATTCAATGGTCACTAGCACTAAATGAACAATAATCTTCACACCAAACGCAAGTCTCATAACCTAGAAATCACCGATGCAAGAAGAAACAGCTAATCAAAATTGCCAACCTTGTTACCGACAAAATAAGTATCAGACAACAATTTTCGGCAATTATTTTCACAAAATCTTTTGCTCTTTTTTCGACATAACGGTCTAAAACACACTCAAGAATAAAATTGAATTTCGTGCTAGCATTCGCATATATAAAAGGTCATTGATCGGACCAGTACATACAAGCAGCGCTAAGAAATCAACCTTTAAAATTTACCCTATATTATCTACATCTAGAACAGCCATAAAACAGAGCAATATAATTCAGCCATTAAAAATCAACACCACAACAAAATCTCGATAAAGGTTACTTATTTATCAGTATATGCATATAATTAGAAATTGCCATCTCTAATTCAAAATTATAAAAGATTTAATCCCACCAATAGAGTACACTGAAAAAGAAAAAGCACCCATCAAAATATTTACCTTAAAGAAGACGAAGAAAGGCACAGCAGAAACCGAGTATTCCTCAGATATCTCAGGCTGTTCTTCAGCTTCTACCTGCAAAGCAACAATCATAACCCATCAAGCAAAAAAAACAATTTTTTCATGAAAGAAAGAAGAAAAACAACGAAAAAAAACCCATTCAATCTCAAACAAGGAAATTCGAAGCTTAAAATGGAATAGAAGAGGAACCCTAAGGAAGTGAGCGTTGGGGAAATCGATGGAGAGATGGGAAAAGACTTTGTCCATTTGCTTTGAAGCCTCACACCAAGAAGCCCATAAGTGAAGGATAAGCGGTGCACCACTCTGGCGCAACTCGTCGAGCTCAGCCTTCGATTTGACATCTTTTACTGAACCACCAGCACCGCCTCCACCCATTGCTATGTTTAATGGTTTGGATTACTGAGTTTGGTTATTCTTCTCCGCTTCAAAGTAAAATAGAGTAGAGATTTCTAGACGGCGCTTATAGTGAGCCAAAATATTCCACCTTTTTTGGGTTCTTTCTCAATGCCTTTATCTTAGCCACTCGGAATAGTTCCGCAGCTCCGAGTCGAACTCAGTTCTTTCCTTTTAGGTCTTTTTCAGATCCTAGATTTCGTGCTTTGCTTCTACGCTATACCTGATTATATTGACCATTGGACTAAGATCAAATTATGGTTTTGGTACCTATAGTATGTTGGAATTATGGATTTAATCCTTATATAATTACTTTCAAGTTATAAATAGCAACAGTTACAAGCAAATTGTGCAAAAAAAATATTCTTTTTCCTTTAGAATTTTGTTAGAAAGATATATATTCTTTTCCCCTTTATAACTTTAAAATTTTGATTTTACAAACTTTCTAGAATAAAAATCAAAATTATAAATAAAAAAGTATACTTAAATGGGAATACATTTTAGAATAATTCATTAATTTTGGGAAATGTATAATACGATACACGAATGAATAACAATATTATCAGTATACATTCGAATTACAATCGAAGTTATATATATATATATATATATGTTTGTATATTTGTACCAAATCAAAATTTATGTGTCAAATTACAAATTGAAACAAAATTTCACTTATAAATTTATTATTTAACCCTTTCACCACACAAAAAAAAAACCTCAGGAAACACACCAAACTTTCAGTCCTTATTAGGCTGTAAGTTTTCAAACAACTTCACTATTTAAACGCTTGGAAACCGAATCAACTTATAATAACTATTAATGCAAAAGGTGCATTAAGCCTTGTTCATATTACCAGAATCAACAAAGTTCTAAAACAGAGGCCGACATGAGAGCACATGCAAAGCTCGAAAACATTGGAACATAACAGCATAAACATATGGCCCCAAATTCAGATTATGCCCGAATCACTCAGCTTCACCATTTGAACGCATTGAAACCGAAATGATGATATTCTCCGACACTTTTCGATAAAAGCTTCTTCTTTTTTCAGTTGCCCTCGACGGCAGTGGCAGCATCCGCCAATTCGTGGCACTGCCGGTATGAGGAATGCTCGGGAGTCTTGTAAACAAGTCCACTTGAAACATTACTCCACAGATGTTCCCATCTTCATCTTCACGAGTTATTGCTTTTACCTTGTGAAGTGGATGATCAACGCTTATAAGGCCGTTGCTATTTATGAAAAAGCAGCCTGTAAAATCAACAGTGTATTAAATTCAAACTTAATGGATAATAAACTCTAACAAATCTCTTGACATTAGGAGTTTTTGAGATTTGATAATAGGACTAGTTTTTTAACATCTTCATTTTCACAACAAATAGTTAATAGTGATATCAATTTGAATCTACTAATAACATCATAAAGGTTGAGAGCAAATCACGTCAAATTAAAATAAAAAAAGTAGATTCCAAATTTTAACATAGTTGAGGGACCAAAATCAAAACTAGACCAATACTTTTTACCTGAGGGATACAAGCCTCTTGTATGGCGTTTGGATCATCAGATAATACCAGGGAGCCATCTCCAGCCATTCCCCATTTAAGTTCAAAGCTTGCTTCGTGGTCCTAATTAATAAATGCATTCAAAGAACGGAGCAGCATCGAGAGGATCAAATTGTTAAACTTTAAAAGTATAAGGGTTTATTAAGTATTTTTAGCTTACTATTGCCACTAAGAGGGTTTTAGATTTAGCTTCCCGAGTTCTCTTACGATCCAAGCCACTAGAGGGAAGTCCAAGCTCCTCCGGTGGATTTCCGATTACTTTCTCGAAAACCACCAACATTTTACGAATGAAGCTTACACTGCATGCACGCACTAAGCTTATCTCTAAACGCTGTAGCTTTTGTAACGGAAAATAATGGTGATGGTTTCTTACACAAGGTTAAAAAAAGGGATGGGGTTGGGGTGTGTGCAATGTGCATGTAACGCAACTCAGAGCCTTGCATGCAGAGATGGTGGCCAAAAGTTCTTGTTTCTTTGTGGTTTCCAAGAGAAGAAATGATGGGATTCTTCAGAAAAAAATCAAACCGGACATCTAGATCAATTGATAATGAAGGCAAACTAGTTTTGTTAACCGTTATGATTTGCTACTCTACTCGAGTACTTGGAGTATATGAATCGTGTTCGTGGCAAACATTAACTTAGATCTTTTTTATAAATTATTCGCCATGATCCGCTAGCGTTTAAATGTGTCAAAATCATAAACAAAACTAAGTTACATGTGTCAAAATTGACAAGTTCATTGCTGGTAACGATGTACTACAAGAATAGCGATCCCCTTTTGCAATTCTATGCTGCAAGGATCTTAGAACCACAGGCAGCAAGAGCATGGCTGCCTTCTTTGTACACAAGGTTCCCTCTTACAAAAGTGGCCAACACATTCCCAGACAGGCTTTTGCCTATGTAGGCAGAGATACTCTGCACTCGGAAAGGGGAGAACCGTATTCCGACTTAAGAATCGAACCAAACAGGAACAATAATCATATACGGAAAGGGATAATAGAGAATACGTGTTACATACCGGATTTTTAACAAACATTGGATGACCTTCATTGAGGTGAAACTCAACTTCAGGTTCCCAGACAACAATGTCTGCATGATTTCCGATTGTAATGGATCCCTAAACAATGTAGTTACCATTTCCAGATCATTCACTCGCACAGAACCGGAAAAGAAAAACATGATTGAACTGCATATGTAAAAACATGGTTTAAGATAATGGACCTTCGAATGCTGTCTAGCAAGCTTCGCAGGTTTTTCGCTCCACCATGAAACTAACTGTTCCAATGTTATTCCGAATTTCTGTCCATATGACCATGTCACAGGAAGAACAAACTGCAGATGTCTCAATTGAAAGGTTATCAATTAGCGTCCACCAACTACAGTACCAAGTAAGAGTAAATAATGATCAAAGAGAGAACGCGAGGAAATGAACAGCATAACAATATGAACCAGACACAAGTGGGATTCATCAGGTTTCAACCTTGAAGCGAGAGAGATGATACTATTAAGTTTTATAGTAACTTACAAGTCAATTTCTTTGAAAATTAGTGTAATATTCAGAAAGTAATGTCACCATAAGATGGCATAAGAATTTTATATACAGAATAAAGCAAACAATTACTTTAAATGGAAAATTACCGACCTGTATAATGACATACCGCCCCAAGCCTTCAAAAAGTTACCATCGTTCAGGAGTTTAAGTTCTGGGACTGGCGGTGAATGATCTGAACTCAGCATATCGATATGTCCTTCCTGGAACACAAAAGAAAATAAAGGAAAAGCAATGGGATTAACAAAATGAATATATGGTAACTAGTTACAGAAGAAAATTGATTGCAATACCATTAAAGCATTCCATAGTTTTTCTTTATTGCCTGCACCACGAATAGGTGGGGCACACTTGAAACGAATATCTCCGTCGGGAATTTCTTCTGCTGAAAAAGCTAAATAATTTCAACAGTTATGCTGTCACCTCTCCATTTTGCTTCCTGATCCATTCACATTGAAAGTTCAAGATCAGAAATGTCATAAGCACTAATTTATTGGCAGTTAGAAGAATAGGGCTATGATCAAACAAGGGAGTTCTATTAGAGATATTTTTCATTATGAATACCTTTATAAGATCTAAGAACTGGCATCAGACAAATGAACAACATGAAGATGAGCACCTTCTGCTCGACCTCCAATGCTTGTGTCCTTCGTAACAGTCAAAAGTTCTCTAATAGCTGCCTCCTCCCTGGATGAGAAATCAAGATTAAACGGTGTAAAGAAACTGAATTTAACGCTTTACAAATTTGAGCAAAACATGGATAGAACCATCCCTAAGGAAAAGTAGTTAAATATATCCCTTCCTAGCGAAATTTAAAAAAAAAATCGAACTTACATGGAAGGTGGTCTTTTCTTAAGATAAGTTGAATATGATCGAGGATCGCCACCATCATCTTCAGTTTCTAAGTGGTTTTCAATGGCTGATTGAATCTCAGAATATACAAGGTCTCCTGTATTTGGCCAATATGGACAGGCCAGCCTAAAGTAGCAAATTGATAAGAATTGCAGTAGATAAACTAAACATTACCAATTTTTTAGAAATTGATTAAAATCACTTCAGCAAAAGACTACTATTTATGCATTATTACATTACAAAAGAACATGGAAAAAGGAAAGGGGGACAGAAATGCAATTATGCAAATGTGCTCTGGTTCAAAAGGAAAGAAAACTGACATTACAATCAGTTGAGTGCAATTAAGTAATCAGAAACGAACCTTAATATGAGTAGAATCAGTCATAGGAAAGTCACTGATCCCTGAAGGGCACATAAAAGACTGCAAAGATAGAACATAAAAGTTGTAGGATAAAATTTCAATGCCAAAAATGATCAACCACTCTATTACAGAATATTGCCCATTATTTTTGCAAGGGAAAAAGGTTTCAGAAAGAAGGGAGTTAAGTTCTAACGATTTCAATAAATTCTACTTAATGCACATTATGTCTAGGATCCAGAGCAACATCCATCAATTGGGAATCACTTAAGTTCATACATGACATGACATCAAGATTATTCATACAATACTATTGGAGGCATAACTTAAGAAAATACAAAGACCCAGCCTTCAATATATTATTGGTGGCATAACTACGCAAATGAAGTATAGCTAAATCATCTCATTAGATGCTTACCTTCAAACTAAGGGCGCCAGCATCTAAGAGAGCTTCCAGAGCTGTTGCATTGAATGCATTTTCAGGGACTAGACCTCCCCAAAAGCCTGTTAATGGTAGTTTTTTAGACTTAAGTCTTTGAAATAGTGATTTGTTAAGGTAGAGTTCACAGAACATACCAACATCAACATAAATACTCTTCTCTGCAGCCTCAATCTGAAAAAAAATTGTTCAAACAGATGCTATATAGTATATCAATTATGTTGTCATATATATGTACTAGGCATACCTTGAGTTTCAATGTTTCTGCTGAAACAGTGGAAGGAAAGTTATTTAGAGGCATGTCAATCAAAGTTGTAATACCCCCTGCACATAAAGAGTAATAGAAAGTTAAGGTGCATAAAGCGTGGCAGACCAAAACAATCATGAAAGAAATATTCCAAATTCTGATAGCACTACACCAAAGGAATAATAACACA